GATGCAATTTTGATAAACCTGAGGTTATGTTTGCCTTTCAAAAGTATGAAATGAATGCCTATTTTTATTTCAACTTCCACTGGTAACTATGTAATTTCAGTATTTAGGCACTTGCATTTTTCTAACTCTATATAATTAGCAAGAGAAAAGGCTTTTTTTCTCTCCTATACAGGTATTTTGACTTCGCTCCGTTATGGAGGTGGAGCAGAATCTGGGAGTTATATGGGGGAGGGCAGTATGAATTCTGAGTTTTTGACCATTAGCTCTCAGGAACTGTGGCAAGCTTCAACATGCAACAGCTAAACTGGAGAATGAAGTTTTTGAAAGAAATGTTTATAATAATTCACCAGTCTGCAGGGCAAACAAACAAGGCCCCCTGCACAAGGAGCTGACAGGAGTTCAAAATAGGAGGAAAGTAATTATTTGTGCAGTCAACTATATACAACCTCTTTCTAGGCAGAGATCTGAACAGAACACTTATAAGGTAAATAGTCACAGTAAGCATACCTCAGGAAATTTTAAAAGTGTTGGATGTAGCATAAATAGAGTCAGAAGTCTAAGCTAAACAAAAATACAGAATATAGAAGTTTGAGACGTCATTTAATTGCAGTTTAGCAGTCAGATTCATAAATTGTTATCTTTAATCTCTTTCACATTGCACTAAGATACAATACTTAACTCAATTGGACACATATGTCAGGGGTGTATGTACATGTTCATTTAAAGCTCTAATAGGGAATTTCAATATTTTATTGTATTATTTGCAGACCATGAGACCTGTAAAGACGTGCTGCTACTGTTCTTACTGATATCATAGGCAAATTATGGTTTGTGCACCACTTCTTAAATCTGTAATCATTCCTAGTAGAGCTTTCTATGAGCACAGCAATATTCACCTACCCACAGTAAATTGGAGGATTAGCATTTACTCTAATCCATCAACAGCACTGGAACATGCCAGAAATTGCAGAAAAAAATTAGTATGAACCTGAAAATTAATTCTATACCTCCTGTACATGATAATACCTTTCTAATAAGCAAAAATATCAGTATTCTAATATGACTAGTTAAAGAGTTCTCTAAATTGCTAATACTAAGTAGCTAAAATATCTAGACTTATTGAAAATTCTAAAATTTTTCATATTATACATTTAATTAGATACATATTTATAAGCTACAAAATTGTAATTATAAGTTGTTTACCTGACTACTCAGGTGCAGAAACAGACTTTGGTTTTAGAATCAAAAAAAGCTGTTCACAATTTATAATTAAACTATTCTTACTGTAATTATAGCACTAACAAAACACATATCAATCAACAGACATCTCATTATATAATTTCCTCAATTTTCTGTTCAGAGCATTTCTGAAATCAACTTTAGTTTTGCTTAAAGTCCTCTTAGACATATTTGTTATTTGGATGACTTTTAAGAGTTTATGATTTTCCTTTAAAGAAAAGTTTTCACATTAAAAAAAAAAAGTAAAAATAGGTCAAATTACAAGTAAGAACTACTTGAAATATATATATCCATTTGTTCCTCATGTAGCTAGCAGTAAGTGACAATCTGTCCTGCTATTTTTTATCATAGTTATCCACCTGTAATTCTACCTCTTCTCTTTTCATTTGTTCAGTACTTACAAACTTATAAATCTTTATATCATAATATGTTAATTTTTGATAATGATAATCTCTTCAGTTAACCTTTACTAAACTATCACAGTTTAGGCAAATAGAGCATAGAAAAACGGGCAATAAGTAAACACAAACATCAAATACTGTATAAAACAAAATTGGAACAAGAAACCTGGAAAAAGAACGGAAAGACCTCTTTGTCATATCTGGTTCTGGAAGCTGTTCTATAGCTCTTACACCAGTATCCACAGACTTAGTGAAAAAATGACTGGGTGTTCTGGTACCTTTTGGCCCAAGAGGCTGCTAATCTGGATTCTATTTGATGCCTTTAAAAGAATTCTCTCTTCTGATAATTCAGCATTGAGGAGGAAGCCATTTCTCTACTTTCCTTGACATCAAGCCAAATTTCCTCAAATCAATGACTAATGCCCCTTTTGTCTCTACAAAATGTGTATGCGTGCAGTTTGTCACTGCAGCATTGCAGGATCAACAAACTGGGTCTACAAGTACATCCCTTTTAGTGTCTAAAAGTTTAGACTCTCCTTTCTGCAGCAGTTGGGGTCTATTATGTTGGATATGGTGGAAACGAAAGGGAAGAAGGTAAGGAAAGAAGCTTATGCTTTTCTTCAGATCCCTTTTGCCATCCAAAGTAGCACAAATTAGTTTTAACCAGTGACAGCAATAACACATATTCTCTTTAAATTAGTAAAAATTTCATAAACTAGCCTATACTAGCCACATGTGAACTCCAATTTCCCAAACTCTTGGGACCTTGGATTTTAAATTTTTCCTTTCAGAGATTTTCTGGTTTCTTAGAGACAGTTCTAGCAAATATGCTTGTCTATGAAAACCATTTTTTTCACTAATGAATTTAAGGCTCAGAAATGGAACCCACCCCTAATATTATGTTTGACAGTGAGAGGGATACAAGAAGCTACTCGTAAAGAAGATGTCTACCTGCAAAATAAAATAAGATGGCAGGAGATGTCTGACAGTGCTGTGTTAACATTGAGTGAATTGTCAGACAGACAACATATACCACAAACAGACAGTTTCACACAATGAGGAACACCACAGAATTAAGTCAAGTCTACCTGCAGAAGAAGGAGAATACCAAACCCTGCAAGGTCAGTAAGCACAAAGAGCTCTTCTTCATGTCTGGTTTTCTGCTTTCTGAACCAAAATTCTTTAAAGAACTGCTTCTCTTTCTGAGCTCCCTACCATGCTCTATCAGCATGTGAAGACAAACTCTCCTAGGTAGCAGATCTTCTAGTCCTCTTGACACCAAAATACATTTAAGCTAGAGATTTAGTTACTGTCCATAGTAAGATTCCATCCAATAGAGAATAAAAGATTGAGGGAGAAAAGGTGTAATCAGTAGCATTAAATGGCCTGAGGAGTCTCCCCTGGCCGGGCTGTGACAAGGTGTCTTCTGAAGTGGAAGGTGTACAACACTCCCCTTCAGTCAGGCAGCTGGAATTCCTGCAGTGGCTTGAATGGCTTTTGTTTTTACTCTTCTGCACAACAAAGAATTATAAAAGCCACAGTATTATGTAAATTATTTAGCAGTCCCTCATTATTTGTTTTTTTTCTCTTTCCATGAAGTACAAAACATTAGAAGCTTTCAGTCTGCATACTGAAAATATTTAATTCAAAGACCAGAAGCTACAGTCAAGACAGAAACATACACTACTCATTTTCCCAACTAAGTCTTGTTTCAGCATACTTGTGTTTTACCCACTCAGGTACCAATAAAATCAGTACCAATGCTAGGGATAAAGTTATGAAATTCAAATTACTATCTTCTCTGCCAGATAATGTCTTTGATTGCAGCATTGCTGCAATTGCAATGTAAAGAAATAGAGTTGGATTTTTACTTACCATACAGAAGACAGACTATGGCTGTAGGGCTGCATATATTGTTTTAACTACTTCTAATGCATGAACCTTATTTCCTGAAGCTCTTATACTGAGTGTCATTAATGTTTAGTTATTTACATTAGTGTAGTTTAGTTATTACATTAGTTTAATGCTACCATCCCAGAGGCAGCTGAAAGGAAATGTTTCAACTCAAGAGTCCAGTGATAACAGAGAACTTACAGAACAAAAAAATGCAGTAGCTTAGACCCTACACAAATGGAAATCTGCACAAACTGATGGAGGTCTCCAGCAGGGGAAACTCAAAGGCAAAATGTGTGGCATCAGCAAATGATCAAAATATTTGCTCTGCTTTGTGCATTTTGGGGTTTCTAGTGGAAAAATTGTTCCCAAAGTGTGAGAAAATATTCAAAAGCATATCACAGAGAAGACATGATAAACTCCTGGCCATAACTGAAAAGTGACTTTCCAATGAAGCAAACCAATTCCTCTTGAAAGAGAGGAGATGGTGGAAACCCCCTTCCACACAGCCACTTTGAATTTCTACCCAATGCACGGGGGGAAACGAGCAGTGCCATAGCCAATGCATCATAATCCTCGGCACTGTAAATAACCTGTTTACCTTCAGCAGCAGAGGCACTATATAGCATCTGTGGAATACCTTTAGAAACCCAGTATTTCAAATCTTTCCAGTAAAAATAGGAGTGCCATTTCCTTGCTTCCAAAGCAACAAATGTAACATGTATTTATTTGTAACATCCTAACATCAGCTTTCAGAGCAAAAATCAGGCAAATACCTAAAAGAAGGTGTCGAAGTTTGAGGGATTTAGGATACACTAGTTTGACAGAGTTTCTCTCCAATAGCCTGCAGATATTTATTTACTGATTCAAAAGTCTACAGTGAAAACTGCATTTGAGAGGAGTGGATTAGACACAGCAGGTGCATAAGTGGTCCCTTCAAATAGTCCTTCAATCAGTTTCTAGCATTAGTGAACACCAAAATAATTGACAAAAAACCAGAGACACAGCAACCTTCTAATAGCTAAGCACCTTTTAATATGGACTTCTTTACTGGTACTCTCAAAAGGCAAGGTACCAATACTTCCTATAGAATTGCAGTAATTTACTTACCCATACATACTGACAGGAATGATGAAACAGCTCCAGAAATGCTGATTCTGAAGATAACATTTACAAAATCATATCAGAGCTATGGAAGTGTTAACCTGAAAGGACTTACCTGCATTTTAACTTGGATAATAACTCTCATTAGTTATACATCTTTTAAATGAGGTGGCTGAACCTTATACAGTCTGACATTAATTCTAAGTACCATTGTAAATGAGAACGATGTACTGTATTATGAGAGCAAATACTCTTCATCGCTTAAAAATAACTCTCCCATTTGCTAATTGGTCATTTTAACAAACAGAAGAAAACTATCTTTCCCAAGGAACAGAACAAAAGCCAAGGAGAAAAGCTACTCACATTCCTTTGAGCCGTTGCCACATTTTCTCTGCATGTCCTCCTATTTGATACTTTGCAGAGGCGCTTTCCAGTTCCCGAGTTGTTTCAGTCGCTCGAGCCCCCATCGTTATTGTCCTACAGCGATACAGTTACAGTCAGGCTCAGCAGCAAGTAAAAGCAGTCTTTAGTCCACTACAAATTTCAGAAGATCCACGCATGTTAGACAGTAGCTGCTGTCATATCAAAACACATCAGAATTACAACAGCTGAGGGACGATCCTGCCTGAATTGCTATTCACTGACAGACAAATCCACTCTTCCCCCCCAAGCACAGAGCAAGTACACACAGCTCCTCTGACCTCACGAGTCTAATCCATACGGGTGAGCCAGCTACTATACTACTGGCTGCTCAAGCTCCTTTCTCATGCACTTTTCCTGCTGTAGGAATACACACAGCGGCACAAAAGATTCCTTAAAACGGACTATGATTCATTGCCATGAAGGATAAATGTGAATGGCTTTAACAATCCAGAAGGAAAGAAAGGCTGGTTTCTGCTCTGCAGGTTGGAGAAACAGGCTGCAATAGGAAAGCAGATGGTAGAAGCCAGTATCAGCCACATCACCCTACAAAAAGAGTATATGTTCGAATGCCAGAGCTTTCCTCTCTTTAGTTGATCCTGAATTGTTTCTTAGTGAATAAATATCTAGCAGCCTCTCAAAAAAAATATGACTGTACAAATGCTAAGTCTGCAGCAAAGACATATATAAATCCCTGCAGAAGAGAAATCAGAGAGCGCTACAGGTTATTGAAGGAATATGCTGTAATGATGACTGTTCACCTTCTCCTAGCAACTCCACACAGTAGGTAACTGTCAATTTAACTGGTGGAAAATGCAGCAGCTGCAACACAGCCCGCTCTGTGAATCCGTCGGGACAGCAGCATGTGTGTCAAAATCTGATGCTGAACTCTGTGTGTCTGCCAGCAGAAAAACAATTCAGTGCAGGCAAACAGCAAAAGGGTTGAGGGCTAATCAGTACATCAGTCGTGCAGCAGATTGCCTGCTCTGCCTTTCAAATGCAAACCTAAGAAGCTAGCTGTACAGCCAAAGTCCGGGTTTGGAGAGGGCAAAGGAGAGGATTTCCTTGCTGCTTGCTCAGTCACAGACTTGGGTTTGCAGAGCAGCTTCTCCACTCTGTAAATAGCACCTGTCTTGTTCGGTGAGTCAGTAACAATCTTCATTTCTGAAGCAGCAGCCAAATAATCAAATATATCCAGACTTATCTCAGTGATCATGTTTGTTTCAATCAGACTAAGAGCTGTGCAAGAAGCCAGGCAAAGAGGAGTGTGCCAAGTGGGAGTAAATATGTCTGAGCTTTGTCAGCTACTGGTGCCACTGCCAGTTGAGAAAAGGAGCTCTGGGTCCACGATGGAAAAGTGAGGATGAGCATCCTCAGATGGTGACTGGAATGAGCCTAAGGGTAAGGGATGGATATCTTGATATGGCTTGAACTAAACTGCTTTTTCTGTGTTAAATTTTACAACAATGTGAGATGATGAGATGTTCCCATCTGATGCAATTGGCAGAAATGGATAATACTACTAAGTACTGAGGTTCTTACAGAAAAAAATAAAAAAGAATCTCACTGCTTTGAAATAATCCTAGCACTCCAGAATTTCCTAATCAATTTTCTTTCTCTAGGACATCTTTTATGTACATTATAGAGATAAAATACACCCTGTGAAATTTACAAACCAGTATGAGATGCATCTTTTGCTTGATGATTTCAGGTGGATAATTAAACATGCCCACTACTTCTATGGGTTTAGCACATACATAATTTTAAACTGCTATTAATTCATGGACTTTCACTGCATTATTCCTGACTCTGACACACAAGAATCAGTCCCATAAAATTCATTAACAATATCTGAAAAACAGTCACTGGAAGAGCAAAATCACAATTTTTAAACAGCATCATAAGACAACAAAGAAGAAACACAAACACATGTTTTTTCAAAAACTCTAAGGCAGTTATTTGGTCAAAGGCAGCAGTAGTATCTTTGAACCACTTAAAAGCTTCCAAACTTTCCACTCCTGTTATGTGTGGAATACAAACAAAGTTTGTAAGAAAAAGTATAAATATCCTTCCATGGAATAATTAATGAGAACATCTCACACGAATCTGGGCTCTTCCCTGACTTTTAAGTGTCAAATATCTGAAGCAACGCAAAGAAATTAAGTATTTATAGAAACCACATAAACCTCCAGGGACAGAGGGAAATTTTAAGGGCCTCTTTTTCTCTTATGAAGTATTTTCAGCTCTTGTTGTCTAATTCTACAATTAAAAAAAAAGTGTTGTTTGCAACCTATTCCCTCTCCCTCACAAGGAAATCAGTGTTGAAAAAATATTTCTTTGATTTTCTGGAGAAAAGTATGAGAAGGTAATATCCTTCACGAAGGAAGGAAAGTGCAAACTGCCCAAACATCACTGTAAGTGGAGACACACCTGCTAACGTCACCAGAACTTCACTAAAAAAAATTGTAAAAACTCCCTGAAGGACCATGCCACTGCAATAATAAAAATTCATACAAGCAAAAGCACCTGGCATGGCTTAAGCAAAGGACAAAGAAAGCTGCCTCCACCCCAAAGGTTTATCCTGAGAATGAACAAAGTAAGCCATCAGAGATGACACTGAAGGATGAAAATGTATCTCTGAAAATGAAAGAAAGAGCGGGAAACACTTAAAAACAGATAGATAAGGCATTTGAAAGTCAAGAAAGTTGCCAGAGAAATTGTCCTGTATGTCCCTAAGGAGAGAGAAACAAACCACCTAGAACAAATAAAACAAAACTTTTAGGTATGCCGTTATCTTGAAAACATGAACAAAAAATCCTTATTGAGACACTTGGAAAGGAGAGACCTTTCTTCCCCTGAGCTTCTGTGAATAACACTCAGAGAATGAAGCAGCTGAGCCTACTCCCTTCCTCCGGCTCAGCAGAAGGCAGGCACGGCGGCTGGGAATGACAGACCCAAAGCAATGCCTGCACACCTCTGGCTGCAAGTGGTGATCCGGGGCAGAAAGCACAGAACTGTGCCACTGGAATATAGATAACAACCATACATACAGCTTGTACATAGCAATGAGGGAATCAGAGGAGGAATTACAGACAACCCGACTTGCTCAGAATTACAGATCTGTGCCCCTGCAGTACAAGCAGGTCTAAAGAAGATCCAGAATACCAAACAATGAGCAGCTACTTTAGGAAGCCACGCCAATCAGAGAGATAGCACCTGAAATGAGACATTCTCCTTAATAGTTTTCATCTTTGCACTTCCTGTTCTTGTTCCAGTTTTCTATTCTTGCCTTACCTAACCCATTGTTTGTGCTACAGTCCCGGCAAGTTATTGTTACAGTCCACTTTCCTCCTAAAAAAACCCTAAAAAATAATCTTTTTTGCCCTTTGCCCACAGCTTTTTCTATTTTTTTAGATTTCATCTTAAAACTCCCATACTAAAGTCAACACTAAAGGAAAGCCTCTGTTAGTCAACATGGAGATACATTAAAATGGAAATCATTAAATTCACCCTTAATTACAGCAATCATAAAACTATCCCAGTGCCACTTAATCCTCAGATAGGAAAATTTACACTGCACTTCTCTTCTTTCATGTAAAAATAATTCACTTCAGTAATAATAGCAATGCAAAAGAATAATTTTACAATACACATACCAGTAAAGAAAGCAAGTTGGTTTTTCAATATTGAGAGACCTTCACAGTTATGCTAAAATCCACACAGTTGCAATGAAAAAAACTTACCTTGAAATTGGGAAAATCCTGCAGCTAGATCAGCTAACTAGCTATAGAAAAAGGAAAGGGATTGCACAGGTTTTGATGAGGAGAATTAGAGCTTTCTTTAAAATAAATTCTCTGCTCCTGAAGGGAAATTAAATATGCTGCTTTGTTTAAAATTAATCTTCAAAACATCTAACTCACGACACATGGAAAATAAGGAAGTACCAAGAGACCTGAGGGGTGACTTGTCAAACTAATACTCATCCTTCCAAACCTGACAACACAAACCTCCCTGCAGTGAAACTGCAGGAGAGCCATGAACCAACTAAAAAATTTGAAAACATAAGTAAAAAACCAAAGCAAAACAAACCCTAATAAAAGATAAGATAAATTTATTGTAAATAGTGACAGCAAGTATTATGTTTGTATGCTGTATGTCCTGGCCCTGATCTGCCAACCACTAATATACATTTAATTGTAATCAGGTATAGCATTGCACTTATTTGCTGGGTAAGACAGAGTTCAACAGCATTGTAAATAACAGAGTTAAATCACTGAAGAACTGCCTGCCAGTGCACTTGAGTGGTAGTTACATCGTACTTTGGAACCTAAGATTGGACAGAGATCCCATCACTCAAATTCTGCTGTTGCAGAAAAGGAATGGTTTGCTGGACAGTGTCCTCGTGCTTCCTTCTGCCCTCCTCATTGTCTATTATATTCGTATTTGTGAAGTGACATGCAATCCCCTTTTGCAGAAGCAGAGTTTTTAGCTTGCTTGCAATGCCCAAATGTCTGAATTATCAATCAAAAAGATGTGCAGCAGAGGAAGAAAAAATACTTGGTCTTACTAAAGTTCATGGACTTTATTTAAATATATAGATCTTCAGCAATCTGGTGATGGTAAAATATTGATGTTACAGTAATCTTGGATTTTCAGATTCTCCACAGAATATATTAATAAAATTAGTACAGTTACATAATTGAGGAATAGCAACTTTAAAGAGCTATGCATATGGTCTACACAGTGCATTGGCACTGACTCAATTAAGTAGGTAAAAGAGTTGATTGATATATTAACAGTGCTTAGATGACCTAAATAAGGAGACTCAACAGGGAAAACTACTTCTGCAGTTTTTGCTACATCTGATTTATTGCATTTGAGGCTTGTTCATATAATCACTAAGGAACTTATATTCATTTATGTGTCCTGCAAGTACCAATTTAAAGTATAGCAAGGAGAAAAAAATATCTTCTATTTTTGCTATGTGCATGGCATATCATAGTGGTAATGAACATGGTGTCAGATTCATCACAGCTTTTAGGCAACTAAAAGTGAAAACAAATATTCATGAAAGCTTGCATACAAATTAGCTGATAAACTTCAGGCCACAAATAGATATATATTTGCACACCTACTTATGATATATTAAGACCTTGTCACATTTGATTGTTCAAATACTACCCCTTATTAGAGGTCACCAGCAATAAAAATCTGTCATGACTGTGTGTTGAGTGTTCACAGACCAATTCTGTGCCAAGTCGGTTCATTAAAGCAG